GTCCCTCATGACAGACTCATCACAAAGAGCTGAGAAGAATTTCTGACAGAAACTTGGAGTAGGAATGAAACTACAAAATCTCCACACACACAGCCCCTGCATGAGCTTAGTTCACAGAGACCTGTTCTCCCAAAATGGAAGCAAAATGAAAAAAAGATATATACTATAAAGAAAATATATTTCTCTAGAATTTAAAAATATATCAAATATATTTTTTTAAAGTTATCCTGCTAGTATTGTCTGAAAGTTTTGGCTTCACCTGTTAATGAAGTGGGGGAAATGAATATTAAAAATCACTTTTTTTTCTTCAAGATAACAGAATCTTAAGGAAAAAAGGGAGACAGATTTTGAAATGTCTCTCATGAGAGAACAACCATTTTTCACTGGTTGTTTTAAAACTCAGGTTGCAAAACTGGCGTGTAAAGTAAGGTTATCTTGTGTGTCTGAACACCCAAATGCTGCCTGTATAAGATTGATTCTCCTGTTAGAAATCATTGTGTCTCTTGGGGTATATTTAGTTGATGTGTAGCCTGGATGTCTTGAGGTTTGCATGGGCCCATCTCTCATTTTCACTGCTTGCAGCACAACTGGCTGTGGTGCAAATTTATTTGCCAAAAATCTAAGCAAGAGATATGAAGATATTTTGATGCTACCATGAATTAAAACCAATAATACTGGTAATTCAAAAGATAAACCATAAATATATTACACATACATAGATATTATAAAATTAGTTCTCAAGAGCTCAGAAAACAGGAAAAAAAAGAAACTAATTTAATTGCACTCTGCAACTCTAGCTGTAAATTCCCTAGGGTTACCCCTTGGGTCAGGTCAGCTACCATACTGTGAGTTCAATAATTCAGGAGAGGAACCATGAACAAGCCTTATGCCCTCATAATGTGCTTAAAGCAAGCACAAGAATTAGTGGGACAAGCAGAGTCTACTTTGCCCCCTTGCAGAACAGTCAGAGATCCTCCTTCACATCCCACTCAATGTGTGCTTGAACCAGAGAAAATATTTTTGAGAACGATCCAAAATTATGTGGTGTTTTCAAGAGAATCAGAAATGTAAGCAAGGCAGCAGAAGCTTGAAAGAGAAGGGAAATACAGACCATTAGATATTAGTTCACAACTGCAAACTCAGAGATGTAGCTGAACAATGTTAATTTTATTTAAAGCAGACATGCAGTAGTCAACTATTTTTGAGCATATGTTGTTATTAAGCTTTTTTTCTGGTAATGACACAAAATTCATAAAGCAAAAGTGGAGACAACGCTGCGATCAGTCACAGTGACAGTATGAAACTATTTTGTGTACTCTGCAATCTTCAGGATAATTTTCAGTGGCAAAGAAACAAGTAAAATAATAATACTGCATGCACAAAAAGATATTAGCATGAAAATAATTACTATATAGAAATAAAATTATCAAGCTATTACATATAATGAGAGGGACTAAAGAAGTAAACCTGAAGTTATTTATGCATAATTTTGCTTCAATTTAAATACAGACTGGTATAGTTACACTGAGTATTAACTTAATGATCACATTTCATCCCCAGTGCACCAGCCAGAAATAGAACAGTAGTCAGCTGTGTCGAAAAGCAACAAAAAAATAAAATGCCTATTAAGTCAATAACTGGAAAGAAAACTTAAAAAGAAGCCTGCATTGACACAATGAGAACTGGGAGAATGCATTACACCTGGTGTCAATAGTTTCAGACACATTGGTAAGGGATGCTGTGAGGAAGCAGTAATTACAGCAAAAATCCTGCTGCTGTCACTCGGTGTGGGCACTGATGACTGCGAGCGGGAGGAGCTCACTGTGCTCTACAACCATGAGTGGTTTAATTGTAATCTGGGGGGTTTATTATTGTCAACTTTGTAAAAGAGAGAGGCTTGGAGAAGGTGAGGTGTATCAGTGCCACAAAGGGTCCCAAATCTATGCTGTAGGAACCCAAACTATGTCATTGTTACCCTCATAGTCGCCACATACTGAACCTCTACTCCATGAAGACCCTGAGCAGTGTGCAGGCAACCTGCAGCCTAAAGGCAGGAAAAGCTGAGGGGTGAGTTGCTTATGGAGACATAGCAACTCTGTGGCAGAGCCAGCATAGGACCTGATGGATCAGGGGATCCCCTCAGGACACTGTTTATCCTTTTTTTGCAGTGAATCTGTTGGTGTTGGAAACTATCAGTCACTCAGCCTTGAGAAGTCATCTCAGTCATTCACCAAGACAAGAGCTCCAGCACAGGTTAAAGGTAATAGCCTGGCTACTCTGCCACTTTTTTTTCATCTTTGACAAGGATGAACCATCTCAAATGAGACTCTGTGTTTGTTCAACCCATGACTGCTGAGAGCTCTTTAAAGGCCTGCAGCACAGATGAGCTGCACGGCTTCTCTAACGTGGACACCAACCTGGCTGTTCAGCCCACTCAATTACAGTGCTTCAGCTGAAAATTATTTCGAGTCTTTGCTCTGAATTGGATTTAAACTGAGCAATTTGAGCCTATTTCTACTCCCTTAAATTGTCCAATAATAAGATAATCTTTGTTTAAAAACTTAATGGATAAGTTTTGTTACAAATCTGGGTCAACACTTCTGGCGCTTTCTCAAGAATTCAGTGAAATTCTCAAAATAATCCTTTTGCACTGAAGTATATTAAATGCTAATAGAGCACACACAGCACAGCAAGTAAACTCTTAATGCTGTTTCATGTATCAAAATCAAGACTTTTAAGACCACTTTGATGAGACAAAGCATAAGTAAGCAGGAGGCACGGGTCAGAGATGGATGAAGAGAGAACCATAGTGCAACTCGAAAACAGCACACTTAGTGGAAATTGAAATAGTTGCATAATGCAGAAAAGTAAAATCATAATAGTACAAAATATTCCAGATTAAAAAATGTTTATGTGAAAAGAATCATTATTATTCCTGTAGTTTTTCACTAGCATGTCACCTGGAGGCACAAATGACTGGTCTTGCAGCCAGATCTTTTACTATACCTTCTACTGTTGCTTCAAATGTATTCAGAATTGGGTTTTTTTCCTGTTGGATTTAACCCATCTGGAGCAGGATGCAGTGGCCAATAACTAACTTGTGTAGAAAAAAACCCCTACACCTAATTGCTTATTCCTAATCTAGCCCGCTGCAGCATTCTATTACTGTGAATCCTAACAATTATTAAATTTGGCATGTGTGTAGAACAGCATTTATTCAATGCTTTATGATGGAATTACCATACAAATATAGCTAGTAGCTAAACACAATACAAACAGCTGCAATGTATTTTGTTCCTGGGTTCCCCAGGAGGCAAAAAACTGTTGTGCAATTTAAAATAGCTGGACTGGGGGAAGGGGAAAAGGGCAATACCAGTGTGGAAGTGATCTGATTATCATGGTGCTGAGCACATCCCACCACTCCTGCTGGTTTGACTGCCTGGGCTCAGTTGGTTTGGACATGGTGCAGGTGTCTGGCTTTGAGAAGCCTCAGCAGAGGCTCCCCTCCTTTAGCTCAGAAGCAGATTTACAAGCTGAGTCTGGCCCTCAGCCCCTGTTCCCCCGCTGAGGACCTGAACCTGACTTCTCATTTGACCTCGGGCCTGCCTCGTACTGGGGATGTGCCTGGAGATCTGGGCTGTGGCTGACCCTGGTGGCTGGCACCAGACCTGCTCTGTTCTCCTTGCTCAGGTCCCCCTGCCAGGGAGGAAACTGTCCTTGCCCTGCCTGCCGTGCCATGACTCAGCACAGGGTTTGTCTGTCAACCGTTCCTGTACCCAACACTGGTCCTCCACAGACAGTGGTTAATAGAAACACTCATGACTGCAGCGAGCCTTGGACAAGGAGGTAATCTTGGAGTCCTGAAATATTGGCTTAAACCGGGTATCGTTTTTGCCAGACAGCAAGGCACCCAGAAATCCCAAAGCTGTTTTCTTCACATGCTCCATGTCTCAGAGTAAACCCCTGGGCTGGCTGATTCCTCTTACAGCTTGGCTCTGCAACAGGCAGCTGTGAAATCTGGCAGCTCCAGGGAACCCTTGGCAGGAAGGATCTAGAGATGCATACTGAAAGCTGATTAAATGCCAGCATCTCTGGGAATGCCATGGTCACCAAATATCCCTGCTTTTGAACTGTCATTTTGGGGAAGGAGAAAGAGGAGACAGGGGACTTCTTTGATTCATGGGGAATTGTGGTGCATCCGTGCTTCCAGTAAAGCTGAGGTACAAAGTCCTGGCCACCTCAGCTCCGTGTTGTGCTGTGTAAAGATCACTCGTTCTGAGATGAACTGCAGGACTAGAGCAGTCCCTTCACATCTGGGTTCCATTCAGAAGCTCCTCAGTCAAGAGATCAGAATTTCGCGTCTGTAGAGAGACACCCTGGTACAACCTGTAGAGAAGTACATCTCTCTGAGAGGATAAAAATGAATTATCCCACATTTAAACTTGCCATTTGTGGGAGGACAGGAAATCTTGCTTTCATAGTACTGGTTAGAATCACTGTTAAAATCACTGTTGCAGCAACAGCTGCAGTGGAAATATTCTTATTATGCAACTGGAGAGAATAAAAAATACTTTCTACCATCCCTTGGGATGAGATCTGCTTTTGCTGAGATTGCTTATGCAAATAGATTAATTTCTTTTGTAATCAAAATTAAAATCTTCTGATTGTAGGATGTAGTAACAACATTAGTAAAGTCTAGAAAAGGCACAAGCAACCTAAAAAGACGTATTTATTATACGTCAAATACATCAAATTTTGGAAGATTTTGTTTCAAATTTGCTGTATTAATTAAGCAACCTTTGGAAGAAGTCATGTATGGATACTACGATTCTTTCTTTTGATCTATTCATCTGCCTCTTTTCATTCAGTATTTGACCATCTCTCAGAATTCTTTAGTATTCAACACTGAATATCAAATATAATCTTTTTCTTTAATATATGAAATGTCTTCTTTCTGCTTTCTAATAATAGGCTACCATGACTTTTTTTTTATTTTGCAGGTGTCATCTATAACTTGCCCTTCCAGGCATGCACCTATTTCTGCCTTTGAAGGAGAAGAATAAGTTTGAAAATGTCTTCGAAGTTCAGGTTTGGCTTTTCAGAAATCTATTGGTTTTCTCTAAAACTGGCTAACAGCCTGATTAATTTTGTGGAGCTGGGCTGTGATATGAAAGCCTTTAGTCACTGCTGGGGGAAAAAAAGCATGCAGAAAGAAGGAAAAATAGTAAGATAGAACTGACATTCATAATTTTGTTGAATTCAACAGAATTTGAATGAGTCTTTGAACCACCACATGATAACAAAAAAAACCCGCCAGAGATCATTTGCCATATCATTTCCTCCCAAGGTCTATTAAATCATCTGATGTGACTGGAGATGGTTCTGTCAGCTGTGGTCTGAGTGTAAGAGCACAATTATAATATTGGGATTTATTTTGTCCATGTCACAAATTTATTTTTTTTAAATTATCACATATTTACAGCCTAGACATCTTAAAACCTGAGTTTCCACTTCAAAAGTGTCTCACTCACAATCTACCATATGACCCCATTTTAAAATTATGTGAGCAAAGAATATAAAAAGCACTGCATGCAATTGCCCACTGCACTTCCAGAATCACTGCCCTGTCTGTTCCATATCTAAGAGCCTCTGGTTATAAAAAGATTCTTTTAGTTGCTTATCCTGTATGTTCTTGTTCTTATCTCCAAGCTTTGACCTTTTATTTTTTATTATTTACTTTTGCAAAAAGCCTGTTGGCAGCAGTCTGTTCTTTTCCATGTCAGGCTTTTCTCTGCTGTGTCTCACTGAGATGTCTTTTGAAATACAAACACCAGATTCACAATGTTGAATTTCAACTCCTTCCTCTGACTCTGAAAGTCCTTTTGGTTTCTATGGTATTATACTCAAAGTATGGCACACAATGACTCCTGTCACATCTGCTGTAAGTGCCTGTAATTGCCCACTGCCCAAATAAGATTCTTAGCTGCTTTCCATCTTTTATGCTGCACTTCTGTAGAACAAGTCATATTGCACTGAATAAAGCTGGTTTAAAAACTCAACCTGAAAGAGATCCTGCTTTGAGTTTTCTCATTCAACTACATATTCCCAAGCAGAAACAGACATTCAGTGGGAAAAGTGATTGCTAATTAAGGATGGTCTTCAGTACTTTGCTAACTAGAAGTTTTACAGTTAAATGATGGTTCCAACTTCCTAATTTTCTGCCCTTGCTCCCTATTTAAATATATATACCAGCACAAGTCCATAATGATAAGATCTATAAAGATCCTGCCTCTCCCAAAAAAAGCATCAATTAAATTGTCTTGTTTATTATCCTGTAAAATTTATAAGCAGTAATTATTCTTCGCTTTGTTTTTTGTCAGTTTATGACAGTTCCAGTTTCCTAAGTGGGTAATTATGCAACCCTTTAATCTTACACTTCCCCCAGGAAAAAGATCTCTCCAGTCTTAAGAAACTGTTCTGTGCACAGCAGACTTTATTTTGGTTGTAATGATATCCTGAAGAAACAGCTCATCTGGCAATAGCTGTTCATCCTGCTCTGACAATGAAGACCCTGTGAATCAGCACCAGGCTGGAGTTCTTGTAGAAATTCAATGTGATGGGTCTTAATGTGATATTCAGACAATGTATCTCCAAATCTATACTGCTGTCCTGTATTTGGATTATAAACTCCATTCCTTTTACTTACACTTAAGCTTTCAGATTTCAGCATTCTCCTGACTTAGTGCTGTCAAAATTGTGGCATTCATTTCCTTGTGGTGATGGAGATTTTGGTTAGCCAGGAGGAAAGGACTGTTTATGTTAAATGATAATTCTGTTGTAAAATTAAGCAGAGGTAAAGAATAAGTTTAGACTGGAAACTAGTAACTACCCAAATCAATAACTTTCTGAAGCAGTCTTTCAAGTAGGATATTGGAGAAAAGCACCCAAAGCTGTTTTAAACTAAAATAAGAGCCTATGGTTCTTTAAAGGGTCTGGCCTCACTTGGTGGAGAAAAAAAACCAGCCAGGTCCTGTGAATAAGCCCAGGTATTGTCAGATTGTCTGCAGTGCAGGAGGGTGGACTCAGGAAGCAGAAAACATTAATTTGACATTATCTGAGGCTTTACTCATTAAGGCAGCATTTAGCTTTCTGAGGTCCAGTGTCCTCTGCAGTCAGACACTGCCCATATAAAGAATCCAGACTCCTCCATGTAGGAAGTCACAAGGATCCATCCCATCAAATTAAACTGTCACTTCAATATCGTGCACCATCTCTGCTCTCATATTCTTCCATCTGGATCTGAGGGTGACTGTGTGTGCAAGGAACTGACTCAGTACTTTGGGACAATTTGCTACCTAATTATCTGTAACTAGAACCATTTCTAGCTGTAAATCTGTGTATGATTTGGTGGGTTTGTAGCTATATCAGTACAATTTACATGTAGGTGTTTTATACTACTGAGAGTTCTACTAGCTTTCTCTATTTTTATATGTCTTTGATTTGTGACTCCTGATACCCTGAATAGTCCCCTAAACAGTCAATTTTAGGGGGAGAGGGAGGACTTTTCCTCACTAGTCCCCTCACTGTCAGCAGTTTAAAAGCTAATACAAACCATATTTACAGATCAGGAAACAGGATTTCAGCACTCACAGCAATAAATGACCAAGTCAGAACTTAATATAGAACTAAACATTTCTTTGAAAGATAAAAATAACTTCCTATGAAAATCTTCTCATAAACAATGAAATAAAACCCCCAGGCCTGATTTCATTATGCCATAATATTGCCAAAAATATAGATTTTTTTTTAGTGTGAATGAAATTTGCAGGAAGTGCTCTTGATGTAAATAAAATCAGGGTATGCAGAAGTATGTCCACTAAGATAAATTACTCTAATAACACTTACAAGCTGGGTCTTGAAAACCCTTAGGGGCTTTGATGCTCCCATTACAGGGCTCAACCTTGCATCTTTGAAGTTGATTCCAAGACTCTGAGTAGGCAATTTGCATGCCCAGGCCAATTTCCATCACAGTCACTGATAACGAGGCTGCACACAGCTCTTCAGCCGGTTAGAGGGCAAATGCATAAAAATGAGGAAAACAGAACCATGAAAACAGCAAAGGGAGCTGGAATTAATGTCTTTTTATAAAATCCTTTTTAAACTCAAGTCCTATTAAATTAAGAAACCCCAGAGACGTTATTCATGGATTCAAATGTGATCCTCCACTCAGCTGAAACCGAATCCTCTGTTTTAATATCAACTGCATCTCTGAATTGAGGCAGTTTTCAAATATGCAGATTCCAAATTTGGCAGGTTTAACATTTTTTTTGTTCTTATGATGGCAGCGATAAGGTCACAACAGCTCACACCTTCCGCTGCAAACTGGCCTGCGAGTGACTGCTCAGTAGCCAGCTCAGTATCATCTCAGTACAGTTCCTATCACACATCAGACATAAAAATCCAGCAACACAGTGTCTTTACTGGTGCCTCAGATATACTGACAGAGTGCAAAAAGGATTTGCTCACTTACAGAAATTTTTCAGAGCAATTACAGCACACTGGAAGGGCATCGCCATGATTGGTGTAACCATTTCAGGCTTCAGTTTTCAGCATCCCCAGTGCCCAAACTGAGCCACTAACTCTCCTCAACACTAGTACAGTCCATTTGCAAAACAGCCTGTGGTACCTCACCCAACCATTTCTGTTGTGTATAAAGAAGGATTAAGTGGGTTTGAGTGGGATTTAAAGAAAAGCTGTCCATATAATTAGGTCTGCAGAGAATTATGACAGACTTAACAAAGTACTATAATTGAATTGTGCAGGAACGTTTTCCAGACTTCCTACTGTTATTTCCAATTTTAAATAAACTCTAGTTTGGGTATCAGTACCACATTCCTTGTTGTCAGATGCTCTGACAACAGGATTTTTCACACATTTGGCTGGTGACTTTAGGTGAGGCGTGAAAGCAATTTCTCCCAGACCACATTACATGTCAGTCTGAAACTAAGCAACCTAATTTGTCTTGCTGTAGCTGAAATAACAGAGTGACATTTTTCCACCTCTTTGTAGGAGATGTACCACCATGCATTTCATATCAGTGATTCTCCTGCTGACCTAACCAGATGGAAGGGTGCCCTCATTATCCCAGCAGGTCTAAAACCAGAAGCTTCTCCTAATATTCTGTTCTTCTGGTTTCTCTTCTCTCTCCCCCTACACACAGATAAATAAATTAATTGCTCCATATGAGACAAATTAGCTGATTTTTCATGGTACTGTTTCAGCACTCAAGTAAGTGCTGCTTGCAGAAAAAACAGCGATTTAGCTCATTTGTCTGTGAACATCCAGTCCCTACTACTGTCCAGTCTGCCTCTGCCTGACGTGGGTTTTGGGAGGCAGCTTTGCTGCAGAGCTGGGTTTTCTCTGAGCCTGAGAACAGGGGCAGCAGCCCAAGGGCACTGCATCCAGCTGTGCTGCTGCTTCCTCCTGACTCTGGAGAAGTAAATTGCCGTCCATCTTTCCATTTCAACATGTACCTGCCAAATCCCTCCAGCAGCCAAGAAAAGGGGCAGAATAATGGCCATGCCAGTTCCTCAGCCCTCCCCACCTGCCTGTTTTAGGGAAGATATAGGCCCCTATTTTGTTGTGCTTTACTCATAAGCAGCTTAGACTTTAGGTTACCTTCTTGAACAAACAGCTTGTCTTATCACAGCCATAGCTATACCACATATCACAGACTTAGAGAAGATTTTCTTAATTACATACTCAGCCTGGAATGTGTCCCATTTAAAATGGTGCCCAGAGAAATCCTCAGTACCAAGGTAATATGTGACCTCATACCCTCATACTTCATATGTGAACTCTCCCTGTTTAGGTAAAAATCAATGTGTGTGATACAAATATTTGGTGCAAAGTTGGAGGTCTCCAATATGAGAAGTCAGCTTTCTTATGAGGCAAGTGTTAGAAAAATTAATTTTGTTTCATCTGAGGCAAGAATTTCATCTTGATGCATCTCCACATTACAAAGCTTAAGGTCAAGACTTTTGACATATGCTGAACATATACTTTACCAAGAATTAGCCACCACAAAACCAACAGATTAGACTCCTGTGTTTCTTAAGTGGAAATTCTCTATTTATGAATTAAACATAAGCCTAAAAAGAGCTAGAAACGTATTTGTCATTCAGTGAAATATTGGGATGCCACCAGCATGAAATCTGTTGTTTTTAAAAAATGAATTAAGCTAAATTGCTTCCTTTTTTCTTTCTCTTTCCCCCTCAGGTAATCTTTCCTATTCCATTCTCTGGTTTTGCAATGAGATTTTCCTATTTCATTAGGTGTTTATATCTCTCCTGTTGCTATATGAAAACTTCTTGCAAGCAGCAAAGAAAATAATATTGACTCTATTCAGGAATTGTTTTCAGATCGACTGAATAGACAAAACACACTCACTATAACCTCTCTCAGACCACTTTTCATAAAGTAAATTCTACAGGACTAAGTAATGAATTAACCTTTTGTTTGCAATTTGAAGATCTGTTTACAAATTCTCATTTTTAGTGGGAATTTATTTGTAAAATGAAAAATATAAGTTCCTTTTAATTATTTCCTCGGAAGTCACTAAGCAATGTTAATCACCCCCTGGATCCACTAAACCTTTGGTGATGAGTTTCATTTTTACCACCCTTCATCTGAATTGATTATCTTTGACCTAATTTGTGTTGGTGCAGACTGGGGTATAAACTAATACTCAAGTATTGCTGTAAACAGTTCATGCTATTTTATTTGCAACTGTTTGCACATTTTTCAGCTCATTTGCAATATTGATTCATTTAGAAAGATGCACATCTCAAAACAACCATCTCCCATGCTGCCTGTTTCTTTATTTGAGTCACAAACACCCATCTTGTCCCACCCAGCATCTGAGAGTGCCCTGGTTTTGCCCACAAAAATGTCATCACTATCCAGTCTTCTTGGATAGCAAACAGAAAACTCCCTACTGTTAGCAGAAGAGGACTTTCCACAGTACCTAGAAACTGAAGAGAAACCTGATCATCTGTTCTAGTAAATATAAAATGATTTCTAGCTGGGATATTTTGCCTTTCTAGCTCTCCAGAATAAGGAAGCCTGGGGAAATTATTAAAAGGATATTCCATGAGAAAGGATCCTGTTTCCTGCTCCTTGTATATTTTACTCCTGCATGGCCTCCTTATAAACGCACAA